ATCTTTTATTATATGAATGTATTACTTAGACTTTTAACAAAATGAGCTTTAAAAACAAATAGCTATGATACAGTAGTATTCCAAATTCATCCTTTTGAAAATTAAAATTATGGCCAGGCGGGGTGGCTCAAGCCTGTAATCCCAGCACTTTGGGAGGCTGAGACGGGCGGATCACGGGGTCAGGAGATCGAGACCATCCTGGCTAACATGGTGAAACCCCGTCTCTGCTAAAAAATACAAAAAACTAGCCGGCCGCGGTGGCGGGTGCCTGTAGTCCCAGCTACTCGGGAGGCTGAGGCAGGAGAATGGCGTGAACCCGGGAGGCGGAGCTTGCAGTGAGCTGAGATCCGGCCACTGCACTCCAGCCTGCGCGACACAGCGAGACTCCGTCTCAAAAAAAAAAGAAAATTAAAATTAAATGACATGCTAGAGCAAACTGTCACTAGATAAAGCTCCTTTCTTACGTTAAGAACTGAGAACAGCACAGTTCAAGTTTAGAAGTAGCCTTGCCTTGGGTAAGACTAACTTCTAATTTGGGGCATCTAAAACTAACAAAATTGTATGACTAATCAAATATTTTTCATACCAATAGGTTAACTTTGTAAATATTCCTTAATATTAATAACACAATAATCCAGTTAACTTTAATAATCCAGTTAACTTTAATAATCCAGTTAACTTAATAACACAATAATCCAGTTAATGCTTTTATATAACGTTTAAGAAAAACAAGCTTTAGGCCGGGCGTGGTGGCTCATGTCTGTAATCCCAGCACTTTGGGAGGCCAAGGCTGGGGGATCACGAGGTCTGAAGTTTGAGACCAGCCTGGTTAACCCTATGTCTACTAAAAATACAATTAGCCAGGCGTGGTGCCGCTTGCCTTTACCAGCACTGTATGAGTAATTTTTGATGCAGGTATGTGTTTTCTTCTTTTTGTATTAATCGGGGCCTAGAAAACCATGTGTAGCATTTCAGAGAATTTAATTCTGGGAATTGGGTACACAGGTGTTACAAGATGAAAGAGCACAAAAGACACTGAGGTAATCCAGATAGGAAGCACTACCACCCCTGGGTTTGGGGGAACAGAAGAGAAGAACCTGGAAGCTCAGAGAGGTCCTCCTGCAGCTGGTAATCTGATCTCCGAGTGGAATGCCATTCAGCTGCTACTCAACCACCAGGAAAGAAGGGGCACAGCTGGAGTTGGGAGGTGCAACACTCCTCTTGCTGGATCAATGCTGATATTATAGCAATGAAAACAGCAAAGAAATCCCTTCTTCTCTTCCCTTCCAGTCTCCCTAGGCAAAACCTAACAGGATACTGGCAGGAAAGTCTGGAAAACATGGCTGGCAAGCTCAGCCCCAGAGGAATAGTACAACTTGGACAAGAATAGAAGACAGGGCTTGGAAGAGAGGAGAGAGAGAGAGAGAGAGAGAGAGAGAGAGAGAGAGAGAGAGAGAGAAACAGCCAGCACAGCCTTATAGGAGAATTACAGAAACTGGGAGAATTACAGAAACTGTAACTGCCTGGGTGTAGCTTTAGTAATTAAAATGTGCAGCTGATTACCCACAATCATTTATTAAAGAGCACATTATGATAGATCTATTCATAGAGACTTTATGGACCCAAGCCCTGACTTCAGTGAGCTTACAGTATTTTGTTTTTTTCTTTTTTTTCTTTTGAGATGGAGTCTTGCCCTGTCGCCCAGGTTGGAGTACAGTGGCGCGATCTCGGCTCACTGCAACCTCCACCTCCCGGGTTAAAGCGATTCTTCTGCCTCAGCCTCCCGAGTAGCTGGGATTACAGTCATGTGCCACCATGCCCAGCTAATTTTTTGTATCTTTAGTAGAGATGGGGTTTCACCATGTTGGCCCAGCTGACTCCAGACCTCATGATCTGCCCACCTCAGCCTCTCGGGATTACAGGCGCGAGCCACCACGCCCGGCAGTATTTTCATAACATCATCTACTCATCCCTAAGTCATTATGAAGTTGTGTGGTAAAGCTTTTTTTCTTTTTTTTCCTTTTTTTTTTTTTGAGATGGAGCCTTGCTGTGTTGCCTAGGCTGGAGTGGCTCACTGCAACCTCCACCTCCCAGGTTCAAGTGATTCTCCTGCCTCAGCCTCCCGAGTAGCTGGAACTACAGGCACCCACCACCACGCCTGGCTAATTTTTGTATTTTTAATAGAGACAGGGTTTTGGTAAGCAGCAATCTGGGCTTTTCATACCCTCAATAAAGAAGTGATGTAAAAAATGGAGCCCATTTTTACAAGATTACAATTAGAGTTTCTGCTTTCAGACACTGATGAATCTCAAATTTAACAAATCATTAAAAAGATGCTAAGTTATAGAGTGTAAAATGTCTCAGAGGCCTGGCAAGTGGCTCACGCCTGTAATCCTAGCACCTTGGGAGGCAGGTGGATCACGTGAGGTCAGAAGTTCAAGACCAGCCTGGCCAACATGGTGAAACCCTGTCTCTACCAAAAATACAAAAATTAACCAGGCGTGGTGGTGCACGCCTGTAGTCCCAGCTACTCAGGAGGCTGAAGCAGGAGAATCGTTTGAACCCGAGAGGCGGAGGCTGCAGTGAGCCGAGATGATACCACTGAACTCCAGCCTGGGTGACAAAGTGAAACTGTATCTCAGAATAAATAAATACATAAAAATAATATGCTTCATACAGACAGAAATGGGACACTTAGAAGTGAGAAGGGAGAAGGGAGCACAAACAGGAAAGTAGGCGACATCAACACAAACTTATGTTTGTGAGTCTATCTCACCTACTCTTTAAGTCTAACATTCCTGCAAACCTCAAAATCAACATCATAGTACTATATTGTCTCTTTATAGAAATAACATTGACAAACAGAAAATGATTTGTCATATTACTCGATGACTAGATCAGGTTTTTGGAGACCAAAGAAAACGTGGTAGCAATGGTACCTTTGACCTTTATCTACCATTCTAACTCCCTAGCAGACTGCACAGACCTACTGAAAATCAATGGTGGGTAATGGATATCATTTCCAGCATGGGAAAGAGCGATTTAGAGTTACCATTCTTTTTTCTTATTATACAACTGGACTGAGCATGTATAAGTGTCTAGAGAGTCTCCTCTCCATTCTACCTCATGCCTCCTTAAACACATCCTCACTTCTCCAGCAGGGTGGTACAGACTATGGAACCAGAATACTGCATTCCATTTCCTGCTCTGCCCCTTACTAGCAACTTGGAGAAGTTTCATTTGACTTTTTCTATGTCTTAGTTGTATCATCTGTCAAATGAAGGAAAACAACAGAATCTACTTCATAGAATTACTGGGGACAAAATGAGTTACTATTTGAAAAAGGGCTTAAGGGGACATGGTATATAGTGAGTGCTATATAAGTGTAACTTATTATTCCACGTACAAAGACAACAGGGACAGCAAGAGATGTTGAAGGGACAGTTACATTATTATTATTTTTTTTTTTTTACACTGGGTGAAATAATGTTTACAGATCACATTAGGAATTTTGACCATACAAACACCTCTATCATAGAGTTCTTAATCGTTTTTGAATCATAAACTCTCTTGGGGATGGGTGAAAGCTACAGAGCTCCTCCCTAGAAAAATGCATACACATACAGAATTTTCCAAAATATTACAATCTTCTTCAATTCAAATTACTAGACTATGTATTGCTAGAACACTAGAGGGTGCCACAACCCAAGGAAAAAATGTAAAGAAAGTACAGGGAATTTTGGCTTGCTGGAACATCTTTCTATAGAGAAGAGTTAAATGCATGTACTTCAAATGCTTTAAAATATGTCAACTCTTTTATAAATGCTGGATTAGCACTGTCCAGTAGAACTTTCTGCAATGATGGAAATATTCTTTTTTTTTTTTTTTTTTTTTTTGAGACGGAGTCTCGCTCTGTCACCCAGGCTGGAGTGCAGTGACCAGATCTCGGCTCACTGCAAGCTCCGCCTCCCGGGTTTACGCCATTCTCCTGCCTCAGCCTCCTGAGTAGCTGAGACTACAGACGCTCGCCACCTCGCCCGGCTATTTTTTTGTATTTTTTACTAGAGACGGGGTTTCACCGGGTTAGCCAGGATGGTCTTGATCTCCTGACCTCGTGATCCGCCCGTCTCGGCCTCCCAAAGCGCTGGGATTACAGGCTTGAGCCACCGCGCCCGGCCGGAAATATTCTTAATGTGTGCTGTCCAAAACTGTAGCTGCTCATGTAAACTACTGACCACATGAGATCATAAGGAATTAAATGTTTAATTTTAATTAATATTAAATGGCCATATGTGGCTTGTGGCTACTATACTGAACAGTGCAGTTCTACATTCTAAAAAGTTTTGACTTGCTTCTTACCACAGGCCATTATCTAACAGCGTGAAGGTAATTTCTAATAGAGTGGGTTCATATAATTTTTAGGCCAATTTGTCCCTTGTGATAATTCAGCACTATAAAGATTGTCAGCGTTTTGCCCTTGCCCTACAGACGTTCACAGTCAAAAGTAAGCTGTTTTTTTTCTCATTATAGACGACCCTACCTACCTAATTTCCTGTTTCTTTACTGAAAGATCTCTCTAAGCCCCTGGGATATGAGCTTAAAAAACATATAAGTGTATACTGAAAGACTGAACTAATACAGTTAAGTAAGTAGGCTTTTGCCATTTAAAAAACAAATCCTATTCTAGTGATATTTGCTAACGGTTAAGGGAGCACAGAGAAGACAAAACTGCAAGGACATGGGGCAGGCATCCTGATGGAAAAGACAGAGTCTACAGTCAGAAGCTTGTCAGTCTCCATAATGAAAAAAAGGGTACCACAGGCAGCAGCAGCAGCTTGTGAAAGCACATGGCACAGCAAGGGGACATCAATGAACACCCAGACAGCAGATTCAGGGGGAGTCTGGGGACCAAAGGAACACAGCTCTCAACTGCCTCCACACCAGATTCTTTCTTTCCACTGCAATTTAGTCTACTAAAAATAAATCTAATGCTGACCCACCTGTCAAAATGAAAGCAGTCTATCCACACTGTATAACACCTTACAGCTTACAACCCCGTGTCTGGCACAGTGCCTGAATGAAGTAGGTGCCTAGTGAAGGTTGGTGACAACAACAAAAAAGCATTAGAGAGTGCATTCTCAAATATGTAGACGCTTACCAGCAGCTACAGATATCAATAAAAAGCAGGTGAGTTGTTGAAGCTATCCCTGGTTTAGAAAGATAGTGAATAGGAAGTTTGGTCTACCCAAGCATTTGCAACTGGGTCAGAATGCAGCTGGCATGGCTCTTTTTGCAGAATAATTGTTTGTCCACAGCTGCTACCAAATTACCAAAAATCAAATAAGTAGTTGCCATGTGTGATAGCAGGATTACAGGCTGCCTCAATTTCCATTATGGAAAAATAACGTAAATTGCCACAAGTCCCGCCCCCCAGTCTCAAATAAGCACAAAGGACACTTTTATTCAGATCCTGCATACTGTGAAACAGCATTGTTGCCTGGCTGCTTCAGTGGAGGGCTCAATTCTGCTGGATCTGTCACTGCACAACCAACATCCAGTTAAAGCTATTTCCTAGCTTCTGCAGGACAGCTCAATTCATGATTTTTCTTCTGAAATAACTGAACTAAGGATTTGTTTCTGGATTAAATTATGAAAGTATTTAAGTGCCAATACCACAGACCTAGGAATCTCTGCTATTCAATCATTCTCTCCTTCATTCAACAAATATTTACTGAATTCTTATCAGGTACTCCCACATTATTGTAGCATGTGTATTCCAAGAAAACATGTGACTGGCAATTCTAATTTTGTATCTCTAAGTTTAAAAAGTGTATTCTCAGCCTGGATGAAATGGTGAAACCCCACCTCTACTAAAAATACAAAAACCAGCTGCGTGTGGTAGTACATGCCTGTAGCCCAGCTACTTGGGAGGCTGAGGTGGGAGGATGGATTGAGCCTAGGAGGCAGAAGTTGCAGTGACTTGAGACTGCATCACTGTACTCCAGCCTGGAAAACATTGAGACCTTATCTCATTAAAAAAAAAAAAAGTTTTAAAAAAATGTATTCTTTCAGACGTGACTTGTGTTCTTTGGGAGTAATAGAGAAAATATAGGGGCATTAAAAATAAACATAAATCACTGTAACCTGAGATAGCCACATTACCAAGTTAACAATTTTATGTATATGCTTCCAGCATTTTCCCTGCTAGCTTCTTATATGGTTGGTTTTGTTTCATTGTTTTTAAACAAAAATGAGCCTATATTGTATATACTGTATTACAAATATTTTTTCACTTAATATAAATTAAAATATTCCATGTTATTAACATTTTTGTATCATTTTTTAAACGTCTACAGAGCATTCCCTATAAGAACATAAAGTAGTTTAGTTTACAAATCTTCTGAAGTCATTTAGGTTATTTCCAATTTTTCACTATTATAAATAGCACTGTTATGATAACTGTAGTATTCAATAAATATCTCTTGAATAAATGAGTAAATAATGGTTTAATAAGCTGAGTCTTGGCCGGGCGCGGTAGCTCACATCTGTAATCACAGCACTTTCGGAGGCTGAGGAGGGCGGATCACTTGAGGTCAGGAGTTCGAGACCAGCCTCGCCATCTGGGTGAAACCCTGTCTCTACTAAAAAAAATACAAAAAATTAGCTGGCATGGTGGCGAGTGCCTGTAATCCCAGCTACTAGGGAGGCTGAGGCAAGAGAATTGCTTGAACCTGGGAGGCGGAGGTTGCAGTGAGCCGAGGTTGTGCCACTGCACTCCAGCCTAGGCGACAGAATGAGGCTCTGTCTCAAAAAATAAAATAAGCTAGGCGGGGCGCAGTGGCTCACGCCTGTAATCCCAGCACTTTGGGAGGCCGAGGCGGGTGGATCACGAGGTCAGGAGATTGAGACCAGCCTGGCTAACATGGTGAAATCCTATCTCTACTAAAAATACAAAAAATGAGCCGGGCGCGGGGCACACGCCTGTAGTCCCAGCTACTCTGGAGGCTGAGGCAGGAGAATCGCTTGAACCTGGGAGGTGGAAGTTGCAGTGAGCCGAGATCACTCCAGCCACTGCACTCCAGCCTGGGTGACAAAGCGAGACTCCATTTCAAAAAAATAAATAAAATAAGCTGAGTTTTTAAGCACATACCAAATTACTTCCTTAGCTTTTAAAAGACAAACATTTTGAGTAATCATATACTTATGATTCTGCATATGTTCATAGCAGGCAGAGAAAGCAAATGCAGTAAAAACAGCAATCTAAATATAAAGGAAAGCACACAATACTTGGTGGTGAATGGAAGACAGAATAAAAATATTAACCTTTTATAACCTAGACAATATGTAAGTTGAGTAATGGTGTCAGAAGGTAGAATATAAAAAGAGGAACGTGAAGGGGGTACTTATAATCCCATTTTCCAAAATGGCAAGTTAAGAAGCCCTACAGGAAGTTGATGGATCAAAAAATTAAAGTTTATCATTTAAAATTATAAAGATGATTAATAAATGACTTTCAAAGTAATATAAATACAAAATAATGACGGGGTAAAAAAGTGAGTTAAATTCTCATTTTTCACATCAAAAAATTCACAGATAACATCTAAAGTTGATAAATCAAGGAACAAAAGTCTAAACGTATTATTTAGCCTTATGGAAGTAACCACAAGGGAAGCAAAAAACAGAAATAGTGAAATAGTTTTTAAAGGCTGTCTCTGCATAGTAGGACTGGATGGCCAAGAAAAAGGAAGAGGCAGGAGGAGGCTTATGGTTTATTCATCATAAGGTCTCCATGGCTCTGTGATTTGTTAGGATGTACAAATAACACCCTGATAAAGATTGGCTGAAAAGTCTGGAACTGTTTACTTTGGTTTCCCAAATGATATAATCTTACCTTGCTAACTGGTCAAATCCAGTTGTCCACAGAGCATTCCTTTAACCAGAGGCAAACCTAAAATGCTTAAGACTTTGGAGACTATCTAGTTTGATGTTCTCATTTTCCAAATTGTGACCAAGAAAGACCCAGTGAGTTACCCAAAGTTACATCTCTAATTGGTGGCAAATCCAAAACTTGAACCCCTATCTCCTGCTTCTCAATCAAGTGTTCCAGCTGCTCCATCAGAGACCCACCCTTTGTACCCGAGCACAGTCTCCCGTCATTACTTGCTTGGGCTCCTTAACTGCTAATGCAAGCTATTATGTATTAATAGCTTAATAATTAAGCTATTAATTATTAATCTTCAAGTCAAAATTTGGGTTTTACTGGGGGTACAGCGAATTTGGGTTTTGTCTTTTATTTTATTTCATTTTATTTTTTTTGAGACAGAGTCTCACTCTGTTGCCCAAGTTGGAGTGCAGTGGCACGACCTTGGCTCACTGCAACCTTCGCCTCTAGGGTTCAAGTGGTTCTCCTGCCTCAGCTTCCCAAGTAACTGGGATTACAGGGATGCATCACCACACCCAGCTGATTTTGTATTTTTAGTAGAGACAGGGTTTCACCATGTTGGCCAGGGTGGTCTCAAACTCCCGACCTCAGATGATCCACCCACACCTCGGCCTCCCAAAGTGCTGGGATTACAGGCATGAGCCACTGCGCCTGGCCAGGATTTTGTCTTTTAAGAGGCAGGGTCTCACTCGTCACCCAGGCTGGAGTGCAGTGGTGCAATCATGGCTCACTGCAGCCTTGACCTCCTGGGACCCTCCTGCCTCAGCCTCCCAAGTAGCTGGGACTACAGACGTGAGCCACCATGCCCAACTAATTAAAAAAATTTTTTGTAGGGACTAGGTCTCACTATGTTGCCAGGCTGTTCTTAAACTCCTGGGCTCATGCGATCCTCCTACCTTGGCCTCCTAAAGTACTTGGATTACAGGCATGAACCAGAGCATCCAGCCTTGAATTTGTATTATAAAATGATATGTATGTTAAATTGATTTTTCAAACTATACCTGTGGCCACCCATCCTGGTCCCTCTAATACATCTCCTGTTCCCTCCACCCTCAACCCCACCATCACTGCCTTAGATAACACACAATAGCTACTTTGAGAGCTGGTTCCCACAAACTGAGAGGCCTGACAGCATGATTCTCAGCCACAGGAAAAAATGCAGTTCATAAAGTTGCCAAAGCAGTCTTGTGAAGCTACAGTCTTCTGTGAGCACCAGAGTGTTCAACTGACTTTATGTTCTTCTTCACCTATATTAAACTGTTTAGCTAACTATCCATTCCCATTTTCAGTAGATAGAGAGAGAAAAAAATTACTTTTTTTAAAAAAGGGGGATGGGAGGGCACAGTGGCTCACGCCTGTAAATCCAGCACTTTGGGAGGCTGAGGCAGGCGGATCACCTAGGCCAAGAGTTCAAGACCAGCATGGCCAGCAGGGTGAAACCCCGTCTCTACTAAAAATACAAAAATTAGCTGGGTGTGGTGGCACACACCTCTAATCCCAGCTACTCGGGAGGCTGAGGCAGGAGAATGGCTTGAACCCAGGAGGTGGAGGTTGCAGTGAGCTCCAAGATCATGCCACTGCACTGCAGCCTGGGCAACAGAGCAAGACTCCATCTCAAAAAAAAAAAAAAAAAAAAAAGGTTGGGGGGACAAGGGGCTGACTTTTTAAGGAAAATAGGGAATTGGGCATACCATTTTTATGTTTGTATTAAATCAATTTATAAAAATTATTTTAAATTGAATTTTAAAAGGTATGAAAATCTGTACAGATTATTATTTATATAAATTTAGGAAGAAGGAAACAACAAACTGTAAAACTGGAACCACGCCAATTACTGGAAATCAAGTGTATACAGAGGAGTCAAGATCAGGTCGGGCATGGTGGCTCACGCATGTAATCCCAGCACTTTGGGAGGCCGAGGTGGGCAGATCACAAGGTCAGGAGATCAAGAAGAGTCAAGATCAAATAACCAAAATCCTCATAAATTGTCAGGAGTTTGAGAGCAGCCTGGCCAAAATGGTGAAACCCCATCTCTACTAAAAACACAATAATTAGCCAGGTGTGGTGGTGCCTGCCTATAATCCCAGCTACTCGGGAGGCTGAGGAGGGAGGATCACTGAAGCCCTGGAGGTCGAGGTTGCAGTGAGCAGAGACTGTGTCACTGCACTGCAGCCTGGGGGACAGAGTGAGACCCTGTCTCAAAAAAAATTCCCATATTTATTTTGTGAGTTAATTCATTGAGATAAACTGTATCTTGAATTACTTACAAAATTAAATTTAGGATGCCATATATCAAAATTACAGGCACAGTAGTAAGAAGGGGAAAAAAAACCATATTAGAATCCTACAGAAGGATGTTAAAGTAAAAAAGCATATTATATTTCAAGACTAAAACAAACAAAATTTATAAAGTAATTGAACATAAAATTAAAATGCCTTTACCTAAAACTAGGCATAACATCTCCATTTTAGAATTTGTTTAAGTCTATAAAAGGTATCACTAAACTCATAGAAGGAGGGGAGAAATGCTACCTAAGTTCCTAAAGAAATCAAAACTACCTAAATAACATTTACACTATATTTCCTGTTTTAAAAAACCCATCACCAAAATTTTTCCATGACTACTACCAATGTTGCCATTTAGAACAAGTATAAGCTAGAGAAGAATTATCCTATAAGAATAAAAAATATTTTTCTCAAAAGCACTTTCTCAATGTAATCTTTGATAAAATTCTCAAAAACAGAAGGGGAAAAGAGGCCATCAAATGTAATTTACCATATCCACATTTATCAGCAGCTACTCGGTCCTGGGCACAATGGATGTCCTGCAGCTGGCTGTCAAACCATCAAAAGCTACTCATCATCCACCTTCCTAGTCTCTTAGAACTAAGCTCACTTGGGTCAAAACAAGTCAACCGCCTTTCTCACCAGCAGTAATATGCTGGAATAAAGTGTCAAGTA